TTTATTCAAATACAATAAATCAAACAAATAGAATTTTAATTGATGTGTTGTATTATTTTGCAATTAATTGGTTAAATAAGAAATTAAATAAGAAATTAAGATGGGAACAAATAGAAAATATAATAAAAATAATAAATAATAATGTAAATAATGATAAAGAATATATTAATAATATTAAAAAGTCACATAGAATAAAACAAACAACTAAAATATATATTAAAATGAAAATGAATTTAATCATAGAAAAAAGAGTGTAATTCAATAATAAAAAACATCAATATGAAAAATAACACTATTGATATTGATGATGAATATCTTAACTCTATCATTATTCAACTTAAAGAAATGAAAATAAATAAATATGTAATTATTAATTATTACTGGAAAATGAAAGAAGCAGATAAATTAATAAGAGAAATTAATAATAAATGGGTATGGTCAGCAGAATAGAATATCTGCAAGAAGATATGAAAATGATTTCAATGTATATGTATTATTATCTCTAAAATAAATTTAAATGAGATAAATTTGATGAAATAAAAGAAGTTATAAAGAAAATAAATAGATTAGAATATCTAATCAATGGAATGGTACAGAATAAAATGTATCATGAGATTAAATGAACAAGATACATATGAAATTAAAATTAAATTAAATGAATGAATAAAGTACATAAAATATATGATGACGATGATTAAAGAAAGAATTAAATTTAATAAAAATGAAATTATCAGAATCAATTCAAATAAAATTATGTTTGATTCTAATAAAAAAATTAAAATAAAGAAGAAAAACAAGATGAAATATACCCAAATAACGATATTATTTTAGAATATTTGAAATCGTTATATGAAACACAGGTGATATTAAATAAAGAACATTGGAAAATAAAACAAATCATCTCGTGGAATGAAAGATATAGGAATTATGATAATATCATCAAATTGGATGAACTAAATCTAAGCCTGATGAAAATAAGTAATTGGAAATCACCAGGTATTGACATTATATATGGGTATTATTAGAAGAGAATGTCATCATCAAGAGATTCCATTCTTAATATATTCAATGATTGGTTAAACTTCAATGAAAACATCCTTCTAGATATGGTAAGTGGAAGAACTATATTAATCAACAAATGAGGTGATATGAATGATGTCATTAATTATCATCATATCAGTTGTACAAATGTAATAATGAAAGTATTTACCTCAATATTGAAAGAGAAGATTCATAATAGAATTAACATGAATAGTGAATCATTAAAATTAGTAAAAATCAATTATGATGTAAACTCCAATCTCTTGCTGATAAAGAAGGATTAATTAACAGTTATATGTTAAAGCAGCAAAAAGAAGAAAAATAAACAAAATATGTAGAGTCATATTATGACATTAAGAAAGCATATGAAACAGTAAATCATGAATGGGTAATAGAAGCATTAAAATATTTTAATGTAGAGGGTGTCATCATAGACATTGTAGAAAGTATGATGAACAGATTGAAGATATTCATATGATATAAATACAACGAATATCTAGGATGTATTAATTTGATGAATTTTACATTGTGATTCATTATCATTTCTACTCTTCATCAAAATGAATATAATTTCTCATTTCATAGAAGAGAAGTTCCCAAAAGCAAACAATACATTGTATATGGATGAATTGAGAATAATGACACAAAGTAGTGAAGAAATTGGAACAATCAACAATGAAATTAAACAAATAATAAGTGGAATAAGGATGGAAATGAAAAGAAATCATGAATAGTATTAAAGAACATTAATAAAATACCAGATGGAATGTAAAACATCATATTAATTGAAGGAGAGGACTTGTATAAATATTTAGGTGTATGGCAGTCAGATGAAATTAATGATACCTTCATTTGTAAAATCATCAAAGAAAAGATGATGAAGAAAATTGAAGAAATAAATAATGATGAAAGTAGTAATAGAAGATATATTACAACAATTAATATTGAAGTAATCAATATCTGAAGATATTCAGCATCAGTAATAAATTGGAAGGTAACTTAGATAGAATGGATTTAGAGATAAGAAAATATTTAAGAAAGGCAAAATACATTGTTGTAACTCCAAAGACCGTCTATATGTCCCTATAAATGAAATGGATGAATGATTAATAAGCCTAATTGACGAATATGTTAATGAATTAATTAAAACAGTAATGTACTATTGTACAAGAGTGAAATAGGAAATAAATAATAGATAGATAATATTCCAAGAAAGGAATAAGGAATATAATTAAAAAAGTACTTGTCATAAAATCCCAGAGACTCAAATAGAAGAAATAATAAACGAAGTGAAAATAAAAAAAGAAGTAGTATTAAAAATAAATAAAATAATGACCAACAAATACATCAAAAAATGGAAATCAAACAAGTGGACATTTTAGAAGATGGTTCGAGTCAAAATTTGTAGATAAAATACTACAATAAATGCATGGAAGTCCATCAATATAAAGAAAAATGCATTTCTCCAATTAACTAAAATGCAAGATGGAGCAATATTTAGTGGGTACAGGAAAGATAAAATATTAAAAAATGAAAGATTGAAGTACTATCCACTTTGTAAATACAAGATATCAACAGTAGAACACATTCTACTATCTTGTATTGGTCATAAGAAATCACAAATTGAGAAACATGACAATATTGGCATCATCATATGGGAGGGGTTAATAAGAAAATACACAGGAAATAATCAATACAAGAAATCCCCATATGAAACAATGTTCCAATACAATGACATCACTATGATATGGAACAAACAAATAATGCCAAAAAGTGATGGACTATATCATAAAAGACCAGACATATATGTAATAGATAAAAAGAATAAAACTGGTCTAATATTTGATATGACTATTGTGGCAGATCATAATATTAATGGAGCATATTTGAAGAAAAGAAATATGTATAAGGAATTGAAAAATAAGGTAATGAAAATAGAGAAATTAAAAGATGTCAAAATAATTCCAGTAGTAATTTCGATTAATGGGCTAATAAATGCCGAAAGTATTAAATTAATCAAACAATTAAAAATCGAAATTGACATCACTAAAGAAATTAAAAACATTGTAATTAAAAACATGATGGACGTCATGGAGCACTGTGGAGATCACAACCAAACATATGTAGTTGAACTACAAGACGAAGACTCAGGGACGGGATTAGTCTCCATTGAGCCAGGAACAATAGACACAAGTTCTATTAATACTTAATTAACTTCTTTTATTTGTTTTATTTATTATTCTTATTTATTTTATTCTTTATTTATTTTTTATTTTTTATTTTATTTATTCTTATTATTCTTATTTATTCTTATTCTATCATTTTATTCTTATTTATTCTTATTGTTATATATTAATTTATTTTTTATTTTATATTTATAATTAAATATTGTTATTATATTTATTTTATTTTATAATTTGATATATGATTATTCATTCTATTATTATTATTTCATTATATATTGTTTATTATATTTATTAATTTATTTATTTATATTTATTATGTATATTTATTTGATTTATTATTATTTTATTATTATTATATTTATTTCTCTTATATATTCATTTCAATTTATATTTATTATTTGAAATATTTTATAATTAAATTTATATTATTTATTATTATTTATATATTTTATTTATTATTATTCATATATTTTATTCATATATTTTATTCATATATTTTATTTATATATTTTATTTATATTTTATTTATGATTTATTTATATATTTTGATGATTTGATATTTATATTATTTATATTATTTATATTATGTAATAATATATTTGAAATGTGAATATTTAAAAGAATGATTAAATAAAATGAAATTGATTTGATATTTATATATTATTTTATTCTCTTTATTATTTAAAGATAATGAATAAAATGAGAAAAGATAAAATAATATAATAAAAATGAAATAATCATTTATTTTATTGAATTTATAAAATAAAATGAATAATTTTAAAATAATATATGAAATCTATGATTATTATTATTTATTAAACTTATTAATTTCATTTTATTTATTATTATTTATTATTATTATTATTTATTATTAATGATTTATAAATATTATAAAATAATAAATTCAAATAAATAAGTAATTATTATATTTATATTATTGATTTTTAAAATAGAAAATGATAAAAAGAAAAAAATGATAAAAGAATAAAAAAAAGAATAAATAAATAAAAATAAAAGAATAAAAAATAAAAAAATAAAAAATATACATCATTTTATTTTATAATTTATTTTATAATTTATTTTATAATTTATTTTTAAATTAAAAAATAAAAAAAATAAAATAAAAAAAAAAAAAAATTAATTTTTTGGTTTTGGAATATAATATGTTATTTCTTTTGTTCTTTTCTTTTTCTTTTCTCCTACAAATTTAACTACTTCAACTTTCTTTAATCTTTCCATTTCTTCAATTTCTTTCTTTAATTTATTCATGTTTTCTTCTTGTTCTTCTTCTGTTTTCCCTTCTATTTGTTTTTCATATTCTTCTTCTCGTTTTCCTATCATGTTATTTATGACTTTGTTCATATATGATGTTAATCCTCGCATTTTCTTTTCTTCTTCTTCTCCTGTTTCTCTTATTCTTTCCATCATTTTTTCTCCTTCTTTTTCTATTTCTTTGATTTCATAATAAATCTTTTGTTTCTTCAGAAACATTTCATCTATTTGATCATAATGTGTTTCCCATGCTTTAAACCCTTCTCCTTCTTCTGGTCTTTTATATCTTTTCTCCGTATTCATATATTCTTTCATTACTTTAATTACCTTCTCCGTTCTTCTTGTATATCCTTCTATCGCCCAAATTAATTCTTGATATCCACTTTCTTCAATACATTCTTCTATTTCTTTTCCTTCTTTCTTTTTCATCTTCTTCTTTTATCTTTTTTCCTTTTTTTTTCCTTTTTTTTTTTCTTTTTTTTCTTTGAAATATTAAATAAATTAGAATTTCAATAAGTCTGATTGTATACGATAAGCACCAATTCTTACATCCAAATTTTCAATGTCCCATCCTTTCTCTTTTAAACACCCAACAATGTCCCAGTCTTTTACTTGTTGTTGCCTGTTTTCGTCCCATCCCATAACCAATTGAGAATAAGCACAAAGTAAAGATTCAAATATTTCGTCTTTGGTGATGTGATCACCGAGTATTACCCATATTTGTTTTGTAGAAGTTTTGTACAAATAGTATTGGTATTTTTTTATTGATTGAGATATTTCTATGTAGAGATTTGAAGATTTCGGAATACTGTTTAAACTAATTCCCATTCTGATATTCACCATTTCGTTTACTTTAATTTTGGATTCCATTCTGCTGACAACTACTGGAGAAAGAATTTCGTTTTTAATGTTCATAAAGTAGGACATTAATATTGTTAGTCGTTCATAATTTAATGTTTTGAATACAATAACATTAGACAATAAGAAGTTACAAACACAATGACTGATGAGTGCACAAATAAATACAATGATTCCACTTTCAGTGAAATCACCGAGGACATGAAGAATAAGCCATCCTATTAACAAACTTACAACTCTAAAAAGTGTTTCTAAGTTTTGAACTTTTTCAGTAAGTTCAGCAACATTATTTCCTTTTGCATAGTTGTTTAGAATTCGAGTTTTAATGACTTGGCGACTTGCTTGTAAAACTCCTTCAATAACTGAACATGTGACACTCATTGAATAGAAGATAGGTGTAGAGATAAAGGCTATTTCAATAATTCTGAGTAACTCTGATATTAAATCAATTCTCATTCTCCATTGTTTTGCAAAAAATACAATAGAAGTTCCCCAACGTTCAGTAATAATCAGATGCATCATCCCGGTCATAACCTCTCTAAAAACAACAAAAAATGCAGCAGAATGTCCAGAGTTAAATCTTAAAATTGCAGAAACACTCATAACAAGCATCATCATATTTGCAGCTTCCATAATAACAGAAAAAATGACAAATCTAAAATAACCACGTTCTACTGATGTTGGATATCCAACAGGTACGATCAATTCTTGTAAATGGTTTTGAGATTTTTGGAATGGTTGTTGAGTATACCCGTCATCAAATATATACCTTCTTGACCATTTTCCTTTTGACTCAGTGATTTCAAAAGAGCCATGAGGGGATGGTTGTCTTTCAATTGTTGACATGTTTGATAATCTTTTTTCATTTTTTCTCAAAAAAAAAATTTTTAAGAGTTTTTATTTTTTCATTTTTTTATCACTAACTCAATAAAAAAAATTAATAAAATTAAAAAACCTGAAATGATAATTTGTAAAACAAAAAAATCATTTGCAGTTTTCTTCAATGGACGAACAATTTGATTATTCAACAATATGGGAAAGTGTTCGTCAATTTGAACAGCTTACACCAACTGTGAGAAGTTTGTATGTTCATAAACTTTATAGTTATGGTATTGATTATGGATTTGATTCAACAACAAGTCCTAATTTAAAACGAGAAACAACCTCCGCACTTTTGTTTCAGATATTTCAAGAAACAGAAGAACATCCTGAGTTTATATTAATAACAAAATTTTTAAAAAATGTTAATGGAATTAAAGAAGTTATTCCATTGTTATTACAACAATTATCATATTACTCTGAATTACTGCTTACAACTAAAACATCTGAAATGGTACAATTTACTACTATTGCATTTGGGTTATTTAGAAAAATTATTGGAGGAGTATTTGTTGAAGAAATAAATTGTTCTGAACTAGAGTTTATTCCACAACAATTTAATGAACAATTAAAAGAATGTTATTTTTTATGTTTAGATAATCCAACTCAACTTTATTCATATCTAGTTGATGAAATTTTATTTTTATTTCTTAATATCTTTTATTTTAAAGCAAAAAGTACAACTAATAATATCTCCTCTTACATTGAATCATTATTTTATGACAAATTTAATTATCATATTCAAAATGAAGAAGTTATTTTCTTTATTAAACATCAAATTGGGTTGTCACAAATATTACTTCGTTTTTTGTTTGTTGCCTTTTTTGTTATTAAATCATTAAAGAAAATAAGATTTATTAAATATAGAAAAAATGATAAACTTCTTCCAAGTTTAACAACAATGTGTGTTTCACTTTTTGAATTTTTCTTACAATCATTATCTGTAGTAAGTGTTGAAACTATTAATTTATATTTAAGTGTTATTCCTTCATTTTCACAATGTAATACAATTGTATTAAAAATGGAAAAGATATTAGAAAAAGTACCAGTTAATAATGAAAATCAAAAGTATTTTATTAGTATATTCAATATGTTTCTTAACTGTTATAGACTTAATGTTTTTACAAATGATACTAAAAAAGAGTTAATAGATTCATTATTATCACCTACTTCTATTAAACAATTTAAACACTTTCATGAGTATCATATTCTTATCAATCAATTATCAACAAATAATGAAGGAATAGTCTTTAATAAAATTAAAAATATATCGAATTATCGTAAAACAATATATTTTATGTTTGAAAATGAATTAGAATCAGTCACTCCTGGTTCTGTTATTAATATATGTATTTTCTTAGAAACAGATCCATTAGTAAATGAATACATACCTTTATTAATACAATGCATTTCATATTTTATTCAAAAGGATTTATCGCTCTCATTATTTTGTGCTAAACAATTACACTCACTTATTTGTAAAGGAATTAAATTAAATAGTGAAACCATTTCTTGTTTAATCCAACTTATAAATCCTTGTATTGACAAACAAGTTATCTTTATTATTATTGATATTTTAGTTGTATTAGCAAAGTATAAACAAACCAAAAAGTTTATTAAACAAGAAATTCAAAGAATTAAAACAATGGTTTTATCTTTTTCAATATCCACCCAAAGTGAGATCATAGGTAAATTATTTACATTATTATGTGATCATTGTATTATGTCAAATAAAACACTTCAACCAAGTGAACATAATGGAGTATCAAAAAATTCATTAATTGTTACATTTGCTTCAGTTTATCCATTAATTCTTTCATTAACCATTCAAAATACAACTACTTATTTAAGAAGTGCATTAATAGATTTCATTAGTTTTAATTCATATAACTGTAGTAAATTCTGTAAATATTGTTTTGATGATCTTATGAAGTTAATTTCAAGAACGCCAAAAGGAGAGACTAAAGAATTTCTTTTATGTTTGACAAGTATTGCAGTAACACCATCTTGTTCAATTCAACAAATGAAAAATCTCATGAGAGACACTGTTTCTGAACAATCATTTACATCAAATAGTTTTGCTATTTTAAAGAATGTACTTCAAGAAACATCTCGATTAGATTTTAAATCATTTTTCTTTAAAAAGAATTCATATATCACAAGTCAACATCCTATTTCATTCAATTATAAATCTTCTTCAATAGTTCTTTGGTTCTGCCCGCAAAGTATTATAAATGAGTCACAAACCTTAGCAATGTTTCAATCATTAGAAAACCATTTCATAACGATTTCAATTACAAATCAAAATTATCTTCAATTAAAATTACAAACTGATAAAGTTGATTACATCTCAATAGATGTTGAATTAAATGAAATGGAATGGTATTGTGCAATTTTTATCTTCCAACAAAAAAATAATGAAATGGTGTGTGAAGCAAATCTCATTCAAACAACTAATGTCCAAGTTAAAACTATTTCAATACCAATTCAAAATCATGAACAAACTGTTCTCTTTTGTGAAGAATGTTTTGGATGTTCTAAAGTAAAGAACCAATATTCCAATTATTTTATTGGATATATTTCTTCATGTTTAATTTTCCCAATAGCATTAACTCAAATGGATATTAGCCAAATTGATTTAAATATTAATACCTATCTTTCTCAACCAGAACTCTTTATGGCAAATTCAAAGAAGTTATTTATTTTATCTACAAACCCAATTGAGACACAACAAAATATTATAGGAGATATTACACCTACATTTAAATATGAACATTGTAAAATCATTACAAGTACTTCAAATATCAATTCATTTCAACAAAGTGGTTCATTTAAATTTATTTTCAGTCTCTTTGAACTTCTTTCTATTCACCCTGAACAATTAAATTCTATAAACCCAATTTCAACTGTCAGTTCTAGCTCAAACCTACAAACACAAGACCAAGTTCCTTTATTATTAACACCAAGTGATAAATTAGAAAATTCAAATAATATCAATAAACAAAACAGTAGTTTCAAATCATGGATTAGTTTATCTAATCCAAACGATGAACAACAAAAGAAATTAATAGGAAATAACTTAACAATGAATGCACAAAAGAAAAGTGTTATTGGTAATAATAGAACACTTATAAAGAAAAAACAACGTCAGTCATTTAAAAATTCACAAGAAACAATTGTATTGGATGCGATATTATCTATTCTATTAAATTGTGTTAAAACATCAAAAATGCAAAATGAATTTATTCAATTAGACATTGCAAGTTATCTTCATTATGTTTTACTTGCTTTACCTTCAGAATGTATAACCAAAAAATGTTTTGATGAAATACTTCAATTAGCTGAGATTTTTAATGATAGTTCAATACGTCCATCATTTGAATCAATATTTCTTGATTATAGAATTTGGAGTGGATGTGAAAAAGAAATACAAATACTTATTGTAGAACGAATTAAATGTTTAAAAGAACCAATTAATTTATTAAAATTTATTGTTATGATTGAATTATTTATGCAACCAAATCAAATTACAAAATCAATTCAATTTATTTCATTAAATCAAAAATTACCATCAAACGAAAATGAAGAAATTTGTATTAATACAATCACTGAATTCTTTGAAATTGCATCAAGAAAAATAACAGTAGAAAATATTACGGCAATTAATCATTATTTATATATGATTCATAATGATGATATAATTAGAAATACATTAGATTTATTATTTATTCATTTTCATACATTTCAAAAAGAGTATAATCCTTTTGCAGAAATTATTGTTAATAGTTGTATTAATATTCAATCAATTATTCCATATAAACAACAATACAAAATATTAATAATAATATTATTCTTCCTAGAAACTGTTACTCAAAATAATCCAATGTTTGATTGCAATACTATAACATTATTAATTTTAAATTGTGTTTTTGTATCAAAACATTATGATTCAAATTTGTATTATCTTCTTGCTGCACAATCATTAAAAATACAATTATTATTAGATGTACCAAAAATTAATTTATTTGCAATGAGATATGCAGAAGATACTATTAAAGAACAAATTTGTGAAGTACTTTATGATAGTACATTATATGATAATTTTCCACAAAGTGCATTTAATTTAGTTGAATCCCCTGTTGTTATAATGAATACAATACAAACAACAAAGGATATTAAAAAAAGAGATAAATTATTTAATTTCTTAAAAGTGTATATAATTAAAAAAATGACTTATTTAAATAAAAAAGCACCAGAAAAAATTGAAGAATTTATAAATGTTATGATAAGTTCTGCTTTTTATTATACAGAAGAAATGATTATTGAAAGTGATGAAGAAGCGTTCAAGTTATTACTTTTTGTATTTGAACAACTTGACATTCAAATTAGACCAAAACTATCAAAACTAAAACAAAAATCAAATAAAGACAAACAACATATTATTATTTGTTGTCAACTTTTCTTACTTAATGTTTATCATATGATACATAAATTTAAAAGTTATTTAAATCAATGTAATTTCATTATTTCTTCTAGTTTAATGAATGAAAGTAAAAGTTGTTTCTCACTTATTCTTGTTTTTGTTAATGAAATAATAAAAATTCCAAATTGTTTTAATATTGTTGATGAAAACAATAAATCTATTGAACTTAACTTACTTGAATTATTAATTACAACAACATCACTTGAAATTAATTTAATTAATGAACAAGATGATATTACCAATTTAATTCCAGTCATTTTATCTTATGCAGAAAATGAAAAGTATTCTCAATTCATCTCTTTAGAATTCTTTACTTCATTACTTTTAATAAAACAAAATCAAAAACTGTTTAATTCCATTCTAAGAATTCCATCAAAATTAAATAAAAATTATAGAAATAAATTAATGATTATTGCAAAAGAAATTACTGAAACGTTAAATATTAACTCAGACGACTCATTATTTATTATGTCTCTTCTTAATGGTAATATATCTTTATCTGTTGAACAACTTCAAAATCTTCAGAAAACTCAGTTTATTAAAAGAATGAAAGATTTTATACTAAGAGATGGAAATGGAATTGATTCATATCAAACTCAACAAGAAATGAGTATATCAACAATAACTGACAGAATTAGAAAATTCTCTAAAACTATATTACAATTAAATGATATAATTGTTAAAGATTTCGAAAAACAATTAAATCTAATTCAACCAATTGTTGAAGAAAACAAACAAATAACAAAAAATATTATTGAAGAATTAAATGATAATTTATTTAAACTAACAAAACGATGGAAGAAATTCACTGAAGGAAAAAATGAGTTTAGAACTGAAATGACCAAA